TACATACATACATACATACATACATACATACATACATACATACATACATACATATATACATATATACATAGAGAGAAAGAGAGTGTGTGCGTGTGTGTGTGTAATTGAGGCCAAGGAGGACAAACAACTGAGTGAAGTGTGGATTATGGGTCTGACCAAGAAATAATTGCCGAAAAGGTAACAAGTGGACAAATAAACGGCAGTATGACGTTGATAGATTTACTATGTAGATGCAAGGTTGATCGAGTGATTAGGGTGGTAGCAACTGCAGAGAAGACAAATCTTCCGATCTCTGTCCTGCCGCGTGTTCCTCCGGGCATTCGGCTTTAGTTGCTAGCTTGTGACTGGCTTCGTTATATCTGTTGGTATATTAATCCATGTCTTTTGCCTGCTGTCTACACTTGGGCGTTTGGAATATTATAATCCATTTTGATCGCATCCATTTGGTGCTTTGCATCCTTTATATTTCATAGCAATTTTTATCCCATCGGAGGCATCCCACATTCGTACTTCCTTATCTCCTTATCCTTCTTCATTAATCTTCATACAATCTCGATATATCGCCATTCCATTCTCAAATAAAATTTTAACCTCTTTCTTCCCTGTACTACTGCCTGATATTTACCTATTTGCAGGCGGAGTTTACCTGCGTTCCACTGAATTTGACAATCGAAAGGCTTTGCTCGACAGACAAATCGACGCCTCAACAGAGCCTCGGTGACATTCCAGAAGCCCTAGCAACCAACGTTGCACTTTCGGACTTAGGGCCTAGGTGCTGCCCCCAGTCAAGACACAGGCGTAGTTCAAGTATGAAGTCTAAGAGACCCATTTCCTTTTGGCGCTATCAAGTTGGCGACGGGCGACGCAGATGGTTGCAACTTCTTGTGAGACAGCGCCTTTTCCGCGCAGGGAAATTCAGGGTGTCCACGGAGCGGTCGCTCTGGCAGCGAGATCACAAGCGGGAGTCAAGCTGCTGGAAATCGGTATATAAACTTTGACCTATGCATAAATCTTAGGTTCCGTGAACACACTATAGTGCTTGGCTAGTCGAGGTTGGTCCTTGCAATAAGGGCATTTTTAAAAGGCGCAAGTTTTCATATTGATTGCTATCAAGGCAACAAGCCATCCTCACTCCGAAATGCATTCAAATCACTAGTGTTGACATGGCTAAGTAACACAATTTTAGTACAGCGGTAATTCGCATGAGGGGTTGGTAATTCATTTAAAATAAATCACCAAGTATTTCTTTAAGAGAAGTATGCCTAAGTTGATGCACGCTTGAGAATAACTTATCATATGTGTATTATTATACTGCAAGAATTTTAACTATTTAATGTGATAAATTTAATCTAATTAAAAAAAAGTAAAATTAAGGTCGAATATAATAAATCAATACAATTTAATGAAATGTAATGCAAAAATTTGTGTCAATAGGAT